TTGTCCGTGCAAATTCCATGCAGGGGTCCGATGACACACCAGGTTTTAGACTTTGCATTTGGATATTTTTCTGGTATGAATTTGCTTCACCAATCATGCTATGATCATTCTTTCGTGTAGCCCCTTCATACCCGATACAGTGTCCCATAGGGTTACATAGGGTTACAGTGTGAAGCGGTGCAATTCACTCCCCAATAAGCTATTAGGAACAAGTGCTTCGCTTCCAGTAACAAGTGCCTTACTAGTAGTAACAAGAAGCTAATAGAAACAATAAGCTACTAGGAACAATCCAAGAGACTCCCCCAGGTCGTTGACAAAAGGTGACCTGAAAAAGTGATGGTCGAATGACGCGCATGGCGTCAGCGAGACCCACGTCTTGTTGGCGTCAGCGATGGCCTCGGGCCGGAACAAAGGGCGTCGCTACGAACGGAGCGATCGGACGCTACGATAGGGGCACTCCTGGCCTTACTAGTAATAAGGTTCGCTACTAGAGATCACCGTGCCGCACCAGTACCAAATCAAATTCTTCACGTTGACCAAACGACCTGGGGAATTCAGTGGTTCAACTCCGCCTTGGGACGTCAATTTCCTTCCTGACCTGATTTGCATCAAGCTTTTCCGCTTTATGCGAGTGACTAGTGCTGCTTGTGCTACTGGTTACGTACCGACCCGTCCTTGCTTGTCCTTGCTATTCTGTTTCAGTTAGTTATTTAGAGCAAGACTACTGCTTACGTATTCTTTCCTTGTGGAGCTGGCAGGATAGGGCAGATGCCTTGTCAAAGCTACAAACAGAGGTCCGGCTGATGGACGAGGCGCTGCCCACAGCGGGGCGGGGTGGGGAGTTTTCTTAAAGCACCTAGTCCATGTGGACACGGTTTTTGTGGTCCAGTTGCTAGTAGCTTTTAGCTAGAAATGCCCTTGTAACTAGTTAAAAACGAGTTTAGACGAGTTAAAACTAGTGACCGACTTGCACGCCGCAGGATACGCAAAAAGAGGTCGCCAAGTGGTTGCCGCCTTGAAATGCCTTAAGCGTTTCTTGTGCAGCTCTGCGTTTGTAAGGTCTGAACACCAGGATGAGCAGGGCAACCGTTTCTTCTTTAACAAAGAGGCCAGGACGCTGCGAACGGAGCAAGGGCCTTTCTACTAGGAACAATGTTTGCTAGTAGAAACAATATGTAAATTAGTAAAGAGAGACCGTGAGGTGATCGGTGAGACGGTGGTGAACATGAGCCCAGTTCGTAGCGATGCCCTTTGCTCCTAGTAGTAAGGCCAGGAGCTCCGTTCGTAGCGAACATTGTTCCTAGTAGCTTCTTGCTCCTAGTAGTAAGGCACTTGTTACTAGAAGCGATGCACTTGTTCCTAGTAGCGAACCTTGTTACTACTAGTAAGGCCCTTGTTACTAGCGATTCCAGCCCCGTTCGTAGCGTGGCCGTCGTTTCAGGAACGTCTGAGCACCTGGACGGACCCGCGGCCTGCGAAAATGCAGGCAATGCGAAGCGAACGAAAAAGAAACCGTACCGTTTCGTCGGACATGTCCGCCCTTTTTGTATCCAGGTTTTGTACCTGAAGATGAAGATGTTAAGAATATTGCTGCGTGGCGCTCGAAGAACGAAGATCTGCTTGAATTGAATTTAATTGGGAACAAGGACGCTACTAGGGGCTGGCCTTACCAGGAGACGCTAAGTAGCTACTATTCGCTGGAATTCAATTTGGAATTCGTTTCGGATCCGTATCGCTTTGAGGTCCAGCACGCCCGGATTCGTAGACAACCAGTCCTCCCGGGAGCGCTTTCATTGCCTTTGAAGTAGGTGGTAACTAGTAGTTTAAATAGCTTCTTATTGTTCCTAGTGGCGATGCACGGGTTACTACTAGTAAGGCACTTGTTACTAGAAGCGATGCACTTGTTCCTAATAGCGAACCTTGACGATGCGAAAGGAAAGCAATTCTCGCCATGGGGGCGTGTTCGGTAGCCTCCTCAGATGTTGCGCGTGAAACGATCCGAGTGTGATGTGGCCAAGGTGAGAAGAAAGAACCAAAGGAGAAAGGCCAGTTTTCTAGATTTGATTGCTATTACAAAAATGATGTTCAAACTGTTGTAGGTTTAGACTACGACACACCTTTGGCAAAGCCAAGGCAGGGAATAAATCATGTGGAAAGTAAGCGAACGCTCTCGAAAATAGAAGAACGAAAAGAAAACGAAAACAATAAGCTACTAGGAACAAGTGCCACGCTAGTAGTAACAGGTGCCTTACTAGTAGTAACAGGTGCCTTACTAGTAGTAACAGGTGCCTTACTCGTAGTAACAGGTGCCTTACTCGTAGTAACAGGTGCCTTACTCGTAGTAACAGGTGCCTTACTCGTAGTAACAGGGTGCCTTACTCGTAGTAACAGGGTGCCTTACTCGTAGTAACAGGGTGCCTTACTAGTAGTAACAGGTGCCTTACTAGTAGTAACAGGGTGCCTTACTAGTAGTAACAGGGTGCCTTACTAGTAGTAACAGGGT